GAAATAGTTTCATAAATTAAAATGTATACTCGCCTATCGTCTGACCGACGATTTTGTTGATAACATTTTTAGTTTCCAAAATACAATAACATTTGTAATGTCAAAAAATTTGTTCAAAATTTAAACATGTTTATTTCCGTCAATTAAAAAAAAATGAAATAAAACTCGGTCAGACGATAGGGAGTACATTTTAATTTATGAAACTATTTAGATTTTTTGTTTTAAAATAATCAAAATGGCGAAATCATGTACACTGTTTACCAGTGCACGTTTTATGCGGGTTGCTGTATTTTCTCGAGAGATTAATATTTTTCAATAAAATTTGAAACATAACAAGTTTAATATATGTATTTTAATAAAGTGCTAAATTATGAGTGAATCGTATTTATATTTTTGCTGTAATCCAAGTTCAAAAAATCTTTATTTCAAAGTGTATATGTATACTACCCCCTTAATGCCAACTGTTTCCATCTTTGGTAAGATATAAGGACACATAATACAACTATTTTAAACTATTATACTTTTTTAAATTATACTTTTTCTCCATTGGCAAGATATAAGAACGGAAAGATAAATGTTTTAATATTGAATCTAGATAGAAAACAAGCAAGGGGAAAATGTATGATTAGAGAATTCTCAGAAACCTAACAAAAGCGCAATATGATATGCAATGCATAGCACATATAGGCGGCCAAAATTAAAGGCGGTTGATGAGATATACTTGAACGTACCACATTAAAATTGTCTTCTTCTATAATATTACTTCTATATTTATAATTATACAGATTTTTATAGAAATACATATGGTTTATATAGAAATTATATATATACAGGGTGGACCATCCAGTCGAATATCTCGAAAATCAAGCCCGGGAGAGAAAAATTTTTTAGACAAAAGTTGTTTGGTTTCGAAGGGACCATAAGATGGTACCATTGATTTGACCTTGAAGAATTATTTGAAAGTCACATAAAAGTCACCTCAATTTTTTTGAATGGCATCCCCTATTTCTTATTACATATTCTTGTAGCTGACCTCGAGAGCTTTCCAAAATACTGTAATCAAATGTTTCTTTATTGAATACTTTACGAGTTATAAAGCTCCAAAGTTGCAACTTCGAAATTTTGTCGCGCGGAATAGCTCGTCGGAAACGGGCGGCGAAATTGGCTTAGGGCGGAGAGGAAAGAGCAATTAATAAAAAGACGGATTTTGGATAACAATTCAAGAACTAATTTATTCTAACGTTGCATGGACATATACAAGTTCGGTACGCGCGGACGGACGTTATATACAGATATTTACAAGTGTGTGCGGTCGCTGAGTAGTGCCCATCGGCTGTTCACGTGTCGGCGCGTGACGTTGGTAAGCGCGCGGCGAGCGCGGTAAGCGGGGAGCGGCGTGGCGCGTGAGACGAGCGTTCCCGGTAAGCGCGGGGCGCGATGAAGGGAGCGCGTGTCCTGAGCCGCTTCGGAGAATCAGCGATCCCGTGTTTGTCTGGAGGATCCGCCGCTGAGGTGTCTCTCAGCGGGGAGTGAGAACTCTCTCAATCCCCTGAACTTGGCGGACTCGGAGGAAGGAGTTGGAGACGGTTTGCCAAGATAGACTTGGCTGAGGCCGAGAACCCTCTCGACCCCAGTGCTAACTGTTTCGAGGAAGGATCCGGAGCAGGTCTGCCTGAGAATTCTAGGCGGAGGCCGAGAACTTCTCTCGATCCCGGTTGTTTGAGTTGCTCGCGGTACTGGTGTGGAAGGTCTTCTGGCGGACTGGCGGATAGCGAGTCGAGCGAGAAGTGAAGTCGTCGGAAATTTTCCCGGCTTTTATACCGCACGTTTGGACTTTTCCGCGTTTTGTCGATAACCTTTGGAGGGTTCGCAAAAAAGGGGTGTTCGGCGGGGTGAGTTTCCCAATTGCTTTGCTGGGTGGCGCAAAAGATAACCCGGGCGCGCTGCGCCCGGTTCCTGCTAGGTTTCTTATGCAAGAACGATGCATTCTTTAAGGGGATGCATCATTACAAAGATATTAAGTATATAGATACTTCCATAGTTCTCGATCACTGCATTTAACCTTTGGGGCATAGACGCTACTAAATTTTGACACAGTTCGGGCTCGGCGCGGAGTCCTTCCCATTGATCAGCAATATGTTGCGCAAGGGCCTCACGTGTTCGCTCGATGTGAGAGTCCCATGTTTGTACCATAATGCCCCAAAGGTTTTTTATTACATTCAAATCTGGGGATTTGACTAGCCAATTCAACGTCCTAAGGTTGGGTTGTGCAGCCAGCCAATCCTGCTCAACTCTTGCTCGATGCACTCCTGTGAGTTGTGAACGAAATTTACAAAGGGTACGCCAGGAAATGTTTCCGCAACGTAAGACAACATTACATTGGATAATATGCGAATATACTCTTTGCTGTTTATATGGGGAGTAGTAGGTACCAATGGTCCAGGACCATTTGAAGTCATACATCCCCATATCCTAATGTTATGTGTCCTGATCGTTGACGGAAACGGATATTTTCCTCGGCGTACCTTGTTCCTCCCGTTCTCCACAACTCACTCTTCCACTCTCATCCGTACTGAAAACTTTTTCATCCGCAAAAATTGTTCTCATCTATTCGTCATCATTCCATGCTAAATGCTCTAATGCGAAAGCTATCCGTTGTTTCTTATGTAATACATTTAATTTTTCTTTTTGTGCAGGAATGTGATGGAAAAATCCATTTTTATTCCATCTGCGTCGTAAGGTTGTGACCGGAACTTATCCCGACGTCGAAAATTACCGTGTGCCCTAATCGGATTCTTCCCCGAAGCACCTCAATGCGCAGGCCCGTTGGCTTAGTTTACCGAGACTTTAGCGCTTAATCGAGACTTTACCGTATACCGCGTCTACCTTTAATATGTTCCTCAGCATGAAGAATGGTCGCCACTTCGTTTTACCATCCCACGAAGAAGGAAACACTCGTCAGCAGCCATCACCAGTGGTAAGGTCTTATATAACATTATGTAACATATAACAATTATTTCATTATATCTCGCATATTATTATATACAGATATCGAAACTGATGTAATAATTTCATAACACATTTATATTATGTATAAATAATAAAAATATATAATTTTAATGAAATTAGGTAATAACACTTGTTACATCAAGAGTTACCTCTAGATTATATTATATCTATATTCTGT